AAAGACTTTCTCCTTGGGGAAGGAATTCATCCATGCTGTGGACATTGGAGTTGTCCAAACAGCCCCCTCCAACGTCCCCTGTGGGTGCCCGGGGACCCTGATCTGAACCAGAAGCCCCCCCCTTATCCAGCCTTCCTTTCCTGCTCACTGACGCCCTCCTGCCCTCCTAATGGGACCTGCTTTCTGTTTTCCAGAACCTCCTCTGGGCTCACCCACCCTCACCCCCCCAGCCCCCAAAACCTCCTGGGTTGTTTCCCCAGCAACCGGCAAAGGCAGGAAAGTCACAACTTCCTCCAATTGTGCAGAGCTGGTCATTCTGCGCAGCGGGAGGAAGCAGGAAATGGGCAGAGAGGCAGCAACGCCGGCCCTGCAAGGCTCGGGACGGGGCAAGGCGCCTTTTTCCAAAAAGGGGGGCCAAGGGGCCAAGCTTGCAAAAACAGCAAAGGGACCCTGGCCCCCAAAGGGCCGCTTAGTGGCGGGAGATGTCTGCACGAGGGGGAATCTGAGGTGGGGCCATTGAGGAGCGTGTATAGGAAAACGGAGGGAAAGAAGCAAATCTCATCCTAGGATTTCTGGAGGCAGGAAAGCCACAAAACGGCCTAAATCTCTCCGATGACGGCTCCCGATTCAGGGAAGACCGGAAGGTGTCCTGTCTGAGGCGGAGAGCAAAGGGGCAGGCAGTCCTCCACTTACGACCATAACGGAGCCCAAAATTTCCGTTGCTAAGTGAATTTCCGTTTAAGTGAATTTTTGCCCCATTTTACGACCTTCCTCGCCACGTTTGTTAAGTGAATCACTGCAGTTGTTAAGCTAGTCACAGGTTGTTAAGAGAATATGGCTCCCCCCGTGGACTCTGCCTGTCAGAAGGGGATCACGTGACCCCGGGATGCCGTGACCGTCATAAATGTGAGTCAGTTGTGGAGTATATCTGAATTTTGATCCCGTGACCATGGGGGTGCTGCAATGGTCCTAAGTGTGAAAAATGGTCATAAATCAGGGGTCCCCAACCCCCAGGCCGTGGCTACTACCAGGCCGTGGCCTATTTGGAACCGGGCTGTACAAACGGTGGGCCAGCGTGCACATGCGCAGCTCAACTGGTGCAAGCAGCAGGCCGGCGTGTGTGCACATGCCTGTGCAACTCAACTTTCGTTAAGTTGAGCTGCAGGTGTATGCGCGTGCACACCAGCCCGCCGCTCACGTACGTTGAGCTGTGCATGCACGCACATGTGTGCCGGCCCATTGCTCACGCGGCCCGGGTCCCTCTTCTCCCCCCCCCAGCCGGGCCACCAAGCCACAAAGGTCAGGGACCGCTGTCCTAAGTCACTCTTTTCAGTGCCGTTGTAACTTGGGAACGGTCACTAATGACCGTTTGGGAAAAGGCAATTCAGCAACTGCGCCAAAGATTTTAGGGCACCTCAGGGAGGTGGATGAATCCCCCCCTCTTCCACCAGAGATCCCTCAGCTGGACCTGCTTGCTTTGGGTCAGCAATGTACAATGCTTGGTGGCCAGAAGCTCCGTGGTTGGAAGTGGAGACCAAGAAGGGACAGTGAGGAAGCCAGACGGCCAGGAGGTCCGTGCCCTTCACGGCACAGAAATGCGAAAGAAACCAGAAGCGTGTGAGGCTTGTTCGTCTGCTCCCAGCTATTCTGGGACCCCCTGGCCACGTTTCTCTCTGACCGAAGCCCCCCACTGAAGAGTTGGTTCTCTCACCAGTGTAGGGCGGAAGGCAGTTGCACTGGTAGCGAGCAACGTCATCGATGCACGTTCCCTGGTTCAGGCAAGGATTGGAGGCACATTCGTTGATGTTGATCTGGCAGTTGGGTCCTGGGGGAAAGAAGGAGATCTACAGGGTCCCACCTGCATCTGGGTGACCACAAAGCCACCGAGGGGTTCTTTCCCAACCTGGAACAGCAACAGGCTAGGCCAGAGGTAGGCAACCTTGGCTCTTTTATGACTCGTGGACTTCAACTCCCAGAGTTCCTGAGCCAGCCATGCTGAGGGGAAAGGGAGAGGTTTCCAAGCTGAGCCATGCTGGCTCAGGAATTCTGGGAGTTGAAGTCTATGAGTCATGAAGGGGCCATAATTCCCCATGCTGGCTCAGGAATTCTGGGAGTTGAAGTCCACGAGTCATAAAGCGGCCTAGGCCTAGGCCAGAGGTAGGCAACCTTGGCTCTTTTATGACTGGTGGACTTCAACTCCCAGAATTCCTGAGCCAGCCATGCTGAGGGGAAAGGGAGAGGTTTCCAAGCTGAGCCATGCTGGCTCAGGAATTCTGGGAGTTGAAGT